TTTGAACTTTTTAATATAGATGATTGAGTTCTTGCTATAGACCTAGACCATCTATTGTTTCTACTACTTCCATCAAATAAAAATGCAATTGATATATTACTACATGGACAAAGGTGAAGTAAGTCATGTCTACTAGTTTTTTATCTTTTAATGTGTAGAGTGATAATAAAAGGTTCTTATTGTAAATACATTCCTTGTAGTACATTTGCATTATATCCACTAATTACTTATTGTATGTTGAACATACATTGTTGTTGTATTTGTAGGTGCAAATATCTAGAAATGATAAAAAAAAATTAATTCTTTCTAAAGGTATATATTATAATCTCTTCAAGACTAAAAAAATGTAGCTCTTTGAGGGAATGATAACATGATAGAAATTCCACCATTGCCTTTGCTATGGATAGTATAATGCACAAAATACATTCTCTATATCAATCCATAATATATAATCAAGTTAGTTTTTCAATATTAATTCAAGTTGGAAGATTCAAAATAGCCATTGTATGTACAATGCATGTCAAATAAAAATAAAGTGAGATATATTTGATTTATGAGGTTCAACAATATCTAACTATTTGATCCCATTAATTTTTTAACATATGTAGCTATGCAATCCTTGCTTGTTTTCACATAAATGTGATTAGAGATATTTTTTTACAAAAATGTTATATAAAACATAATTAATATGACTTCAATTCAATTAAAAAAATTACATAAGTTATGGCAGTAATCAAAGCCTATATTCTACTATCTAAATTTCTATCAAGGCAAATTTTCCATTGTAACACTTATAAACTAAAATAAACCTCTACTAATTAGAAGCTTTTTTTAATTCACAATAATTTGATTATCTAATGATTTTAAAAATTCTTCCTAAGTATTTGATTTATATCCAATGAGTCTAATAAAATTTTAATTGTAAGCTAAAAAATTTCCTAATTTATGTGATTTATTTTAGTTCACAATTATCAATTAACATATGAATTGATTCTATAAATTTCTTCCTATTTCTTTACAAGATATGGCAATAATTATTTTTTTCTCAATATATAAAATATAAAAAAGATTCAATAAAAAAATATATAAAATATAAGATATATCTTCATTAATTTTAGTAACTATAATTAATACTAAATTAGATTAATTTATTATTAAAAAATTAATAAGCCAATTCTTTAATAATTTAATTTTTATAAGGTCATGAAATTTTAATATTAGAACAAAGTAACCATTTCATATGACTTATTTTAAATGGAGGTTTTTTTTTCAAAAATATTTATAATAGTATTTTTAATTTTATTTAATTATATCTTTATTATTATATAAAGTTTTATAATTCTTTGTTTTAATTCTTTTACCACTAGATTTTTAATTTTTATAAATTTTAAAAAATAAAATTATAGATAATAATTATTATTAAAAAAAATTATTATCTAAAAAAATATATTTTATTATTATATGAAAAAATTTCTAATAATAATTTTTTTAATTACATTAATAATAGTTAATATTAAATTTCAGATATTATTTAAATACTTAATTTATAAAATCTATTTATCTATAATTTTAAAAATAAAAATCTATAAAAATTTAATAAAAAAATATTAAAATACTTAAATGAATTTCATAAAAAAAAAGGTAATTTTAATTAAAATTATTAGTTTATTAGCTTAAAGATACACTTGCTTTAGTATAAAACAAGCTATTGTTATTTATATATGGCATCTCATATTTTTGATGTAAGACAAGAAAATTTAAAGAAGGCATTTGACAAAATGTATTGTTTTTTATAACAAGATGTAATATTAAACACAAATTATGAAAAAGATATGCTTCAATGGACTTAATAAAAATTTAAGATATATATTGGTATAAAATACTTAAGATACTAATGATAAATATAAACTACGATAGGAATCAAAGAATCTTTTAGGTATTGATGCCATTCTTAGAATGAATCTATAATATCAAAATTCTATCTTTTATAAATCTTATAATTAATATTAATTATTAAAATTTTATTATTTAAAATATAATAAGATTAATTATATCATTTGAGTCTATTGGTGATGGAACTATAAAAAAAAAACTTAAAATATTTAGCTTGCATAAAATAGGAGTTATGATAAAAATTATTTTCAAAATTTGAAATACTACTTCTTCATCTTTATTCTATTTTATTTTGTCTTTAGAAATTAAATATGTAAAAAAATAAAAATAAAATCTTATTAATATTTGATAAATATCTTATAATAATGTCTTATATTTGTAAATTCAAAAAATTATTAGACATTATGTGTAATTTTAAAGTTATTTGATCTACAATAGTATATACTTTTAGAGAATATATTTACAAACTACCATTTAAAATGACATATTCCAAAAATCCTACTTAACTTATAGAATACACATTTTTCTATCTTATCATATAATCTTTTATTCCTAAGTTTTATTAAAAAAAAACTTAATTATCTAAAAATTCATATATATATATATTTTTTTTCAAGTACTAAAAAATAACTAGACTACTTATAAGTTCAAAAGGTATGATATTACATTAAAAATAGCCATACTTAGATTAAAACATAATTTTTTATTCATTTTTTTTTTTGATATTTACAAAATTATAAGTTTTTTGTGGATCTATCTTAGTCTAGATCTTAGCTTAAGTCAATTGATCAAATAGCTCTAACATTATAGACAAACAATATTGATTCATAATAATTAATTTATTAAAATTTACAATAATTTATTTTCATTTACAAGGATCTATTTTTTTTCTTCATGAAGAGGATTGGCACATGTGCATGAGATTTTGAATGTCAAATTTAGTTCTTTGTAAGTATTTTAGCAATATATTTCTTCATAATGATTAATTGTATAATTATAAGGTTTATATTTTGGCAATAAACCACTAGTTTTCTTCTCAAATATATCTTAATATTCTTAGTAGTACTATGAAATTCTATTGTGACCTTCATTTTTATTTAAGGCACAAATAATGCAAAGATTAATAATTTTCATACTTAAATTGATAAAAAAAATTATGAATTAAAATATATTTCTAATAATTATTTTATATAATACATACAATGGCTACATGTCTTTAAATTTGCAAGTTTAGATAGTTAAAAATACTAAAAAAAATATATGCAATACGTATATTTTTTAAATCTATTAAATATATTTTAAAAAAATCTTATATAATTATTAATGTTAATGCAAAAGATGATAAATTATGTGTGTGTATGTTTGTATGTATGTATATATCTATATATATATATATATATATATATATACATTCATATCTAGTCCAAAGAAAAAATATTAAATAACTTTTAAAATATAAACTTAGTTTTTTTTGTAGATTGCGTAAATATATATTTATTAAACCATTGTATACTTGCAACATAAAAGTTGGTATCATTATCTTATTTTGTTTGAAATTTACATGCCTTATTCCCAGCCTCTTATCTCCATTCTCGATGTTCTCAGCCCCTTGCCTCTATTCCCAATGTTTCCAACCCCTTGCCCTTATTCTCGATGCTTCTAGCATCTTGCCTCCATATCTAGCAATGGTTGGGAACAAGGAATGGCTAAGAACAGGGATGGAGGCTCTAAGGGTGCAATGATGCCTAAGATAGACCTAGATTTTTACTAAGTAAATTTAGTAAAAGCCTTGGTCTATTTAACATTGTAAAAAAAAATTATTTTCTTAGTTAAATAAAATAAGATAGATTTTACTAAATTAAACTTTAAAATTTTATAATTTAAAATTCTTCAAATTAACAAGATTTTAAGCTTAATAGTTATTTTAAAAAATTAAAATTAAAAATAAGACATGTACAACTAAACTAAGCTCTTATCATATGTAGTAAAGATACCATATCTTAATATTTCCTGATTGATAATATGTTTTTCTTCTTCAAACACTACTTTAAAAATCAAATCATATATTAAATAGTATCCATCAAAATATTTAGAGTATATATAAATACATATATATATATATATATATATATATATATTAACCCAGGCTTTTACTAGATTTTTGGAATGCAACCACTTTTATACTCATTCTACCAAAGGAAACATACATATTTTATTTTCCAAAAAGGAATCCACCAAGCTAACTCCACTCGAACAAGATTCCACGCATTCCAATTTTCACACCCACCCCCCCCCCCCCCCCCCTTTTAAAATTTGCTTCAAAAAAAATTCCGAATAACCGGTCAAAACACTCTTTGAAACTGCTGGGTATGAAACCTTGTCGCACCATGACCATAATAGAAAGAGGCTTGCGGCACATTTTGTGTGAGGCTTGTCGAGGCATGGGCTTTGCTGCTGCAGTGGAGATTCCCGCTTTTTGCCCTCAGAAAAACTGGGACACTTGGGCATTTCAAAAGATCGTCGGATTCCATGGCAACATTGTGCGCTTTTTAGATGATCACTATGACATCCCACGGCGCGTGGAAATTGCTCCCGGCGGGGTTGGGGAAATGCCTCGGAATATCCGCAGGAGGGTGGGATATTTTCGGGGTTGCATGTTATTTATTCCTGGCCATAGGAATTTTCTAGGGTTCTCGGCAGATTGAGTCATTAGAGGAGGAGGAGGGAGGGTAAAGTCAGTCTTAGATTGTACACATACGAGTAGTACATTATGGGTATGGGAATTAGGTTATGATTAAGCTGTCATGTTAGGTTGTGTAGAGCAAAAGAGGATATTGTCGAGGATTGGGTACCATGAACCTGCACACTACAGGATTGCTTGCGGTCGCAGAGATGCCCGGGTAGCACTTTTGAGAAAATATCTGAGGTGGGTCTCTTTTTCTTTTTGTTTTTTCTTTGACCCGGTCATCGAGTGTCGGACTCGGAAAGCTAAGAGCATGTTTCCAGTTGGCAGAGAGCAGGGCATGCGGTTTTTAAGGGTAGATTAATGTGTAGTTTAGGGCTTCCATCTTCTTTATTTCAGAAGGTTCCTTTAGGGTATTCATTTGGAGATGAAGCTTATTAGGCTTGTCTAGCGAAGTTTTGTTAGAGGGAAGAGTATTTGGTAGCTAGAGGTTGCTGCGTAGGTGGTTGACCTGGTTGTCGAGGAGAGATTGCACGTGGTGAGGTTTTACGGGGTTTTTAGTTCATGGGAATTGTGTCGACTGGACTTCGTCTCGCTTACTCCGTGAGAGAAAGCGTCGATCGAAATTATTTTTCGTGCGTGCCGATGTCATAAGCTCTTCTTCTCCGGTAATTCTGCGTTTGTCACGCTATCAGAGGCCAATGTAGTAACTGCTGCACAGACGGGCCGCAATGGCCTCCTCCGTCGTTTCGGTGTCACAGATGTCATCCTCCGCTGCTTTCAACTCTTCCACACGTAGCGTCTACCAGATTGTGAACGTTGGAGGTTCGTGTGGTAACTCAAGTTGGAGGACCTGTCCCGCTCCAGTAAATGTATCCTCGTCGATGTCCACTTCATCGTTCCAAGTTTTGAATGTGGAAAGCTCGGCGAAATCTTTCGGTCTGTTGGCTGTGGGCAATAGTGCAAGCGTACGGGCAAGTGGTGGTGCAAGTTCGAAGTCTATATGTCCTGGTGGAGGAATTGTCCCTGGTACTAGGAGAGAGATGATCTGCCATGCGAAAATCGAAGATGCGCAGTCCGAAGAAGTGCCTCCTATGACTGTTGAAGAGCAAGCAGGCTGGGAGCAGCGTCAGAAGGAGGCAGCTGAAATCAAGGACCCTGCAGACCCCTTTCAGTGGCGGTGGACCCTGAATTGGAATCAGATCACTCCCAACATAATTGTGGGTTCTTGTCCTCGAAGCCCTGGGGACATAGACCGCATGGTGAACGAAGCTGGAATTGATGCTATCCTCAATCTCCAATGCGATCTCTGCTTTGACGCCCTCAAAATTCCCTTCGACGCCATCCGGACAAGAGCGGTATTGCTCACATCTGCTCTTTACTTGCACTAAAGCGACTCTGTGTCTATTCCAGTCTATCTTCTTTATGTTTAGCGTTTTCATGTTTGAGAAACTTACATCGAAAAGGATTGACTTTTTCTTTTGTTTATTATTTCTTGAATATGCTGAAATACCGTAGAGTATCCCTACCTCAAAAGTCTCTCATGGCGCATTCAGATAGACCAGTGTACATCAAGGGAATACGAAGTGAAATTTGGTTGTAAGTTATGGAAATATTACAGTAGTGCCCAATTCGGTTGCAGAACCTGCAATAACTACCTATATCCTTTCGTTTCTCTACATGTTCTAGCCGTATATTGCATCTTTCTTTCATTCCGGTTGATATTCAGCTTTCGTGAGGATTGCAAGTGCTTCTGAGTTTTGAGTTTTCTCCATCCGAATTTGATGTGTGGGCGATGTGGTTGTCTCTTTGTCCACACAGTATTTTTTCTATCAGGTCAATTTAAGGCGTGTAGTTTTACAGAGTCAAAGAATAAACCCGCCTTTTTGAGAGCATGCGAGACATGGCACTGAGTGTTTATTGATCATTATATGAGCGGATGGACTGAATTGAGCAGCTTCTTAGGGTAAACCTAGGACATGCAATGACAGGAAACGTTCTGAAAATGTTCTGAAAATGGCAGGTGGAGCGAGGGGTTCGATTGGAACGAGTGGCCATACGAGATTTCGATCATGCAGATCAATCCTTGATGCTTCCAGTTGCTATTCGAGTTCTGAATTCGCTTGTTGGGAGAGGAATGAAGGTCTATGTGCATTGCACTGCTGGGATCAACCGTGCGACATTGACCACAGTTGGCCACTTAACATTTGTTCAACAAATGGACTTGGAGGATGCTGTTGCTTCAGTTAAATCTTCCCGGCCGGTGGCTCATCCGTACATAGACTGCTGGAGTGAAGCTCGAAGAAGACTTTTAGATGGAAGAAAAGATGAAGTCACTCGCGCTTCGGTAGAACTTTACGAGACCAGGCTCCAGAATGGAATTAAGGGAACCAAAGAAACTGATTGGTTCGATGCGGAGAAGCTTGTGATTTCACGTACGTTTCAGAGATACCTTGAAACTGATCTTGCTATGATTGACATGGAAACAGCTTGGTTGAAACGGAAATTTGAGCTCGATCACCAAGCCGCAACTGGTGGAAACGGGGTACCTACTAAGGACTCTATAATTTAATCCCCCGCTCTCGACTCAGGGTTGAGAAGGTGCTTCTCAAAGGTGGGTCGACTATTCAATGATATTTGTTGCAATTACTTTAACTAACTCGGGTATTTCCTAACGTAGCCTTTAGGATAAGGAATACTTTCTCGAAAGAGTTGTAAATTACCCTTCAATCGCTTAGAGCCGATTTCAAGTTCATACTTTCACCTAAGAGAATTGTAAAGTACCCTTCAACCGCTTAGAGTTCATCTTCATATGACACTTCTAGATGTGTTCAATAGCAAGCGAGGTGCACATGCAATCCAGTGGAATGTGCAGTGCTTCACCTATTCTGTGGCTAGGTGTAAGCGTGCACCCTTCGGAGAACTTCAATTCTACGGTTATAATTTTGACTTTTCATTTGCAAAATCAGATAAATTATTGTTTGTTGAGAAGCTGGTTTTCACACTTGCATCATTTTTGGAATCATGATACTACTATCTACGTTCTGTAAATCATCTCATACAGCTTATTTTTCAACAGACAATACAGACTCGGACATGTACTAGATTCCTCGTACCACCTCTTTTGGCTGCTTATTCTGTGATCTTAAAGCAATGGTGCCAAGTTGGAATGTAGTCTCGAAACTAGGGAAGTTAAAGATCAGTACTACAACATGAATCAAATTCATTTTCTGTATTTTAATCATAGGAATAGTTTTGGTTCCACGCATTGTTAATGTGCAGAATCATGCTTGGCCCCACCAGCCACCTGCAGTCGTATTGCCACCAAACCTAATGAAGAATGAAATATAAAAACAACTTAGAATGGAAACAAAAGTTGATTGTATGCATTTGTGAGGTATCTCGGTGCTTAAACTTGCAGTTAGACATTCAAGTTGTTTCCAAAAACAAACATAAATTCTAATTAATCAGTAAAAGGTTCAGTAGAAGACATTCAAGAACTTGGAATCTAAACAAATTGGAGGGGGAGAGTGTCTGTTAAATAAAGCACTACATCAAGTGATTGTCTATAAGTGATTAAGTTCTACCATGTACTATCATAATATGAGAATTTTTGAATTTTAAACAATTGATTTCATTTGTTTGTGCTAGTCATTTTCTTCACCATCCCAATTCTATTCCAACTGCAAAGCATGGCTTCACAATTGTTTGGTTACTTTCCTAATATATCTTCTGTAAGTTTTTATTTCATTCTACTATAATCTAGTAGGTTTGATCAAATTTTCAAAAACACTCTTTAATCATTTCTTACTTTTTCATTAAAAGATAAGTTATTGTATTCTTTCTGTATTGTCCAATGGCACATACCATGAAAAAAAGACCATATAACTTTCTGTTATTTGAACTTGGAATGAGTATCCTTGGGAACGATTGTTTACTTCCATATAAAAGATAGCCAAGGGCCAATTATGGTGGGGCTAGTAGCAACCTTTTGCATTATTGATATAATCTAATCTCAAGTTTTTTTGGCTTGAGAGTATTCTCAAACAATACATCACTATTTTTGGAAGATTTAGGTTACAAACTTGATAAAGTGGAGATACATCTTTGCTTTCTTATACTCTCTATATATTGATGGCAAGGTCTTTGTTATATATGAATTATATTAATATTTTTACTTTTTCAACCTTTAAATCAAACTACATCTTTTTTTATATTTGAATTTATAGTTTTCTTCTTGTTTGTTATTCTATTTTCATGAAACAAGGTTCTATGGCTTATGATATTTTTGGAAGAATTGTCAATCCAATTTATATCTATATATATATATATATATATATATGGTAGTATAACTAAGAGTTAGGATTATACTTGTAATTATGTCAAAAAAGAATAAAGTGACTACTTCATATATATATATATATATATATATATATATATATCTGCAATTTTTACTTTAATAACCTCTATTACAAATTTATCATAGCCTTATGCTCCTTCCAAGTTAAAAGCATGAGACATAAGAAGGTTTGTGTTTTAGAAGGCTTCTCAAAGTCTTTAGTAGTTGCTAGCCTTATTATTCATAGGTAATGTAAGTAATTTTTATTTATTTATTTATATATTCTTATTCCAGTACCTTAATTTTTATATTTTGCACTTAATTGCTTCATTTCTATTTCTATTGCTTCTTTACTACTCCTAGATATTTTCTCTTTTTGCTTCTAATTGTACCTTCAATGTTAAGGATATGAATCACAACACAATTTTAAAAATAACAATATATTTTTGTATCATAAAAAGAGAGAAAGTAGACAATTAAAAGATAGATATAGATTTAAAATTAGAATGATTGATGCTTAATAAAAAAGTACTAAAAAAACTTGAATTAAAATAGATGACACAAAAAAGATTGAAAAGAGTAAAGAATGCCTTATACTTGCCTCCATATATATTATCTACTAAAAAAATTAAATAACAATGTCATATAGGCTACATGACACATATCTAAATTTGGAGATAAATGTTTGATTTGTAAGACAAGTCTCCAACAAGTGTGCCACATGACCAACTTATAATACAAGAAGTTCAATGTATAATATGTAGCCAACTTATTCACCAAGTTGTCAACCTATTAATTATTTATAATCACATGTAAAGTCTACAAAGCTTTTGAGAAACTTTTCAAAAAAATATCAATAATTTAACAATATTATTTCTAGGGACAAGTTCTATGAAGAGTAATAATTACATGTTGAAGAAGTCCAAAATACAAAAAATTATATTTATCACATACTTTGATATTTGTTTCTTTTGTATACAATTAATATGTCCTTCAATTATCAATAGTGTCTCATATCAAGAAGTAAAGACTACTATGATATTAAATAATTATTGAGATCTTTGTAACTTCTTTTAAATAAAATATTTAAAATACCATCATGGGTGGTTTCCACCTCTAATAATATTATCAAATATTGAGAGTTTCTTCTAAAGTTATAATTTCAAATACATTATATCTTACCATGTATTCAAAGAAAAACATACTATTTTTGAGAATCTTCATATCTATTACATTATCTTGAAGATTGTGATAATTTCAATGTATTATTCAATATTTAATAAATAGTAGTTCTTTAGTTGAATATATTGGTTGATAATTCTCTATTTATAGTACCACAAATATACAAAAATCACAAACAAAGATTGAAAATATAATGTACTCTCCATTAAGCATTATTTTTTTTATAGGAATAATTCATTAATTCTTCATCTTAACTTTGATAGATATCATCAATAACAAGCATTAAGCTTCTTTAAAGCATTTACATGATTTTTGACTAACTTCTATGTATATTCACTAATATTGTATTTATATCAATATATAAAATATTCCAACCTATTTTAGCTTTTTTCTTAAGCCTAAGACTTCTTTAATCTCAAATTTTTGATTATTATTCACTTTTATAAGAGAAAGTGACTTTTATCTTTTTTTTTAATACGTCCATTGTCTTATATGGCTAAAAAAAAAAAATGTGGAATACATGATGGATCTTTATAGATTTTGGTAGATGGAATTAATAAGCAATTGGATTGATTTGTTCACTAATAGAAAATGGGCCAAATCTATAATAATCCAAAATTTTAAAGTATTTCCTAATTTTAATATTAGGATAAAATAATCATACTTTGTTGCCAACATAGAATTGAAGTTGTCTCTTGCAACAAGCATCTATATTGATTTTTTGTCATTCTTGATCTTCTTTTAATTGTGACAAAATAATTGTCTAGTTATCTTGATGATAGTTGATGGTACATCTTAAAGACTAGTCTAAAACTTGATTTACAAGTTTTGTATGTCCATTGATTTTATAATAGAAAGCTAATGATAATTTTATATCTACTTTCATTATTTTAAAAAAAATCTTTAAAATCTTGATACAAATTAAAATTTTCTATTTGATATAATATCTTTTGGCAATCTATGATAGCAATAAATATTGTAAAAAAAATTAATTTTTTTTTCATCTAAGATAAATTTTATATATGGTACAAAATATACCATCTTGGTGAAATAATATATTATTATAAATATAGAATCATATGAGCTTGAGATTAAAAGATCTGCCATAAGATTCATTGAAACAAAATACTATAGTTATTTTATTATTGGTAATGGCTAAAGAAGACCATAAGGTCAATAACAAGGAGTTTTTTATCTTAAATAAATATCAAAAATTATACAAAGACTTTGATTACCTTTCATATTTGAAGCAACCAAAAATCTCTTGAGATTAATTCTAAAGACTTATTCTATCCAAAATATTCAACAGCTACAAAATGATGAGAAGCTTGAAGAGCATATAATCATCCTTCATCTTTTAGAACATATAAGCATCCTTCAAAATACAATAGATTGTTTTTAAAATTAAATTAAAAAATATCATGAATTTTAAAAGGATTATTCTTAATATTATAAAAAAGAGGATTTAAGGACATATTTGATTGAATTTGCTTTAAAAAATTTGAATCAACACTTAATATTAATTTTAAAATTTAAACATGAAATTGCTTTGGTTTCAAAAGAATTCTTCATTATTGTTTAAAAGGTGCATTTTCTTCTTTTGATCTAAGATAAGAGCATCTAAAAATAGCATCTAATAAATATTAGTATTTTTTTGGTTAAAAAGTGATCTTAAATTCAAACCTTTATAAAAACATGCTCTAATAAGCTTAGTGATGATTTAGAACTTGTAATAAATAAAATATTTAAATTTCTTTTGATATTTATAAATAATTATTAGACTTAAAGTGTCTTTCAAAAAATGGTGCCAATCTTAAAGTAAGTCCAAAATTATAAGAAATTCTATGTTGTAGATCTCATACTTTAATTTCTATTACTAAAATATTTCTTGAATAAAAAAATATTGTGTAAAAATTATCATTTTCTTTTATTTATAAGAATATATCATCCAAAGCAAAGTCTAATGCATCTATTTTCATAAAAAATATCTTATATAAGTTGACATAATACTATATTCACATAGAAGTAAAAATTGTCTCAAAGCTTCAACTGATACTTTAGTTTTTTTATTCTATTTAAGTATATTTTTATAAGTCAAACATATGAATAGAATTATGATTTGAAAAAATATAAATAAAGATCTGATGGTAATTCACAAATCCTAAAAAATATTATATATTTTTTATTATTTATAAAATCTTTAAATCTTCAATAGCTTAAACTTTCTTAGGATTTATCATGAGGCCATTATTTGAAATGATGTATCTTAAGAAATCAATTTGAATTGTGTGTAATACACACATGTCCATCTTAGCATATAATCTTCTATCTTTAAGTTTTTGAAATATAGAAAGAACATGAAATTCATGTTTTTTTGTATTCTTAGAGCAAAATAAAATATTGCATAAATAATAGATAATAAAACCATCTAAAAATTCTTTAAAAATATCATTAATTAGAAATTGAAAAA